ACAGTGAAGCACTAAGGTCGTGTCACATCATGACCTGAACTATGGACAGTGTAAGTGACAGGTGAGAAGGTCGCTTTTCCTCCTAGCGTGTCACAGCAGACAGTATTTTCTTTATTATTTTCAGTATTTTCTGTTTTATGAAGTTGTAGGACTAATTCTACCATTTTTGCTCATGCTGACTCGAATCTTTTTCCCTGAGCAGACCTGGAGCCAAAGTTAAGCTGTATATAAGGAAGGGAGCAATACAGGCAGGCAGGAAATATAGGCAACACTAACTCTGCAAATTAAAAACACTTCTGTGATTTGCCAGTGCCCTTGAAAAGAGTTTCTAACTAATTCATTCCCTCCACTGGGGTAAGTAAGTCTTGCTGTACAAGATCACAACCATGTCAGTGGTGGCATGGATGCCATACTGACTCAGCTTTGCTCTGTACTCTTTTTTCTTCTCTACCCTGGTGAAACAATACTCTCCCAGGATGAGCAGTATCTCTGAGAGCAGGTACTAATTTACAACACGAGCAGCTTTCACAGCTGTGGCTTTGTGGGACAGATGTTCAGGGGCATGCAAAGCATTATCCTGATGGGAGGGTCCATTAATCTTGCTCACATGTGTCTAATTTTGCCCAGCCTAAAGCCATTAAGATGCATTATTTCACTCACATGAATTTCAGATTTTTCAATGACATGTCTTCAAAAGGTTTCCAGACTAAAATCTACTGTAATGTGAATGAAGTATAAATTATAATGAAATATTAACTCATATAAATCCCTATTAACTCTAATAGAGAACTTCAAAGCAAACCCAGCTCCTCCTCCGCCACTCTGCTGCTTTGTGAGGTATAAAGATTGTCCTAGCACTGTTGGGTTTTAAATGTGATTTTCTATTTGATCTTTTTACAATACAATGTCTTCGCTTTCTCTCGTCAGTGGAGCTCTTTGGCAAGATTTAGGAAAATCTGAACAGTTGCATAGACTTCTGAAAGGATCTTAAATATGCTTATTTTGCAGAGCATTTGTGTACACTGAAGTAAGAAGGGATTTCTGCATTCCCATAGGTGCTAAGCAGAATCAGCATTCATGTCATAACCTCTCGAAGAATTACAGAGTACAGGGGGTCTGGGATGGAAGACGTTCAACTCAGAAGTCACCACTATTTAAGTCTCCTAATAACCTTGCAAGTCTCTTCCACCAGCAGAGAAGAAAATTATTACGACTGATGCTTCAAATGCAAATAAACAAGCAGAAAAGTATTTACTTAATCTGGCAGGGAAGGTTTATAAGGTCAGCTAATCAATAAATCAAACCAGTAGCACAGGGCAAAAATAGATTTGATTATTGCTTCATGGTTCACCACAAGGTAACAAGCTAATTTTCAGGCAGAGTGGTAGCATGAATTTCAAATGTTGTTGCTGTATTAAAAATCACATTGGTTTAAGTACCGATTAACTGGCGATAGGAAAAGTGACATCCTGAAAACAGCTTAAAACTAATTTGTATCATTTAAGCTTAGCCATTGATGCAAGCTAACTAAGTTCCTACCTGATGTTAAACCAGGGATGATTCAAAGCCACTTACACAGAACTGATTTGGGATAGTTTGGAGGGAGAGTGAACTGATGAGTTCAAGCTTACAAAATGCTTTGAAGATCTTGATATCTTTTTTTTAATGTCCTCAATATACTATGTAATATATATTACCTTGCTGAAAACATATTAACACAAGAAAAGGTTTGTGGGTTTGCTGACCCAGAGACTGCAGAGCGAGTTTATTCTGCTGGTGTGGGTCTTCAGGCTGTCACGGCTTTCTGTATCACTGCAATATTTAGCAGACCAGTGAAAAAGGATTGTTTCTGTAGCAGTGCCTGGGCTTTTAAGAAATTGCCCTCACCACATCACCAGGCCTGAAACACAAAAAGCTTTTCTTATGAGAACATGCACATGAGAACTGTAACCAAACCGAGGAAGCTGGCTATGTTACACTCCCAAGTAAAGGGGACTCAAACATACTGTACAGCTAGATGCAATTATTGAACTTGCCTCTGACATTAGCACAAACCAGGAACAAACTTGGTCCATCTTAACCACTCCAGTGGAGTCACTTGGTAGCACCACGCTAGGCAGAGCAGCTCTGCAGCACACAGTGCTTATGGTGCTGATGTTGGCTGTGCTGGTCTTGGAGTAACTGAGCTATGAGAATTAATCCATTAACAGTTCTGTTGACTTTTTTCTTCGATGCATGATTTTCTTCATTTTTTCAACATGCATTGATCATAGGAAGCTGTATATGCACAATGGCTATGAAGGCTGAAGCTCAGAAAAGTGAATGTAAAAGGGTTTGCCCTTTCAGCAGTCCTTCTTTTGCCGTAGCTGAACATCCAAATTTCGCAGGTGTTTCAGAAAGCCACGATTGGGTGAAATCCATCGATGTTCCTTCACCGTTTTGATGGCTTCAACCAACGGGAGGTGGTGATTTATCATGAGATATGCTAGGACTAGGGAAGCTGACCTGCTTACTCCAACGGCACAATGTACCAAAATTTTAGCTGGTTAAAAAAAAAAAAAAATTATAACCATAGAATAGAAGCAGTACAGTGGATGAAGTTTAATTTAAAGGGAAGGCAAAGCCCTTCTGCCTTCTCCACCTTGGTCAGAGTAACACCGCAAACATGATATATTTCTTACCCTTCTGATAGGTCACATGAACTGCTAGCAATTAAGTCTAATTTGCAATTGTTACACTCACTTCTATGCAAGATGCCATGAGATCCCAACCTGATCTCAGAAACACTGGTAAATCAAAGAAAACCCTGTAATGAGGGTTGTTCTGTAATGAGGGAAAGTAGTAAAGTTGTTCTGTTGTGAGCAAGAGGAAAATCAGACCCATTGGTTTCAGAAGGGCTTGCTTAGGTGAAGAATGCTAAAATCTGGCCTGAAAGGATGGCACTAACACATGAGCCACCAAGAAAAATGTCTGGCCTAGTACCATTGCATAATAAGGCAATTTGCTGCAACTGTAATTCTCTTTTGAAGGCAGCACTTGTGATACAGACTGAGACAGCTCCATTAATGCCAGTTTACTCGTGCTAAGAAATGGTCTTTTATGTAATGCAGGTTAATTAGTATTTTATTGCACCAGTGCCAAGAAGCTCAGTCTCTTGCGCAACACACTATAAATCTCCTTGGGTAAAGGTAAATCTACTCCTTGGGGGCGCAGCCCTGCAGGCCGTGTTCACATGAGAAGCTCAACTGCAATATATGAGCCTCTTCATGTGGTTGGTGTCTGGAGAAATTAGGACTTTCGTCTCTTTATTCATTTGTTCTTAGAAATACAGCTGCTATAAGAGGGTCTCAAAAGAGGGTGTCCATTTTAAATGTATGTTTTTGCTTCTCCATTTTTGAACCAGCCTTTCCTTCCAGATATTTTTCTCTCTAGTCTGTCTCCTCTCCTCTCTGCCCCAGTCTCTCTCCTGCACTGTTCATCCTTTTTCTCACATCAACTTTTTGGGACCTAGATAGAGCTACACACACATACCCAACACTCCCTCCTCCCACCACCCACCCTGCAGGTGACCAGCCGCTGGCAGAAGACCATGGATTGACTTGTCCACCACTGAGCTTGTGGAGCCAACCTGTTACAAGAAGCTGCCAACTCGCATAAAAATGCAACCAGCAATAATTTCATACCTCCTGGCGTGTTCAAGGCGTTGTGGATGAATTGCGCTGCAGAGAAAAAGAACTGGCTTATATCAAAGCTTGGTAGGTCATGGGCTGGTACACCATAGTAATCAATGGTTGCTCCGTAAAAGTCCTGGCCTCCATGGCTGTATGCTGTGCCGTGGGCAGCATTTAAAACATGGGTCACACCCATCTTCCACAAAACAAATCTGTTGTGAGCTGTTACTCTAAGGAAAAGACAAACACAAACAAATGGAGATGGGGGCAGAGATATTCACAGAGCAGGAGAAGCTCTGTGATTGCATCTCCCAAGCCATTTGCTGGAGTGTCAGCCCGTGCATTGCTTCTAAGGGCTAACTGAGAAGCAAGTACCAGCTTAGTCATAATTCTATCTTGGAAAGCGTGCTGTCTGCAGCGTAAATAACATCAATCAGCAAAACCGTGAGTTGTCTGAAGCCACACCTGTGAGGCATACTAACAGACAGAACGTATGGCAGCCATGTGTCCGTAAAGCTGTACTTACAGGTCTCCCAAGAAGAGATTAGGCCATACTTCATCAACGTGGTTGCAAGAGGGCCGCCCGGTGTTCAGGAGCTGCTCAATTTCTTTAAGGGAGGGGACATCCCCCATGCATGCCCCAGCGTCTTCAGGTCCCCGCGGGCCCAGCGCCTCTGCCCCAGACATACCGAGAGCCAGGGAGAGACCCCGCTCCCACCGACCAGAGGCACGGCACTGCACGCCGGGGTGCTGCCAGCCCCCGGGG